GAGAGAGAGAGAGAGAGAGAGAGAGAGAGAGAGAGAGAGAGAGAGAGAGATTCATTACCGCATCATCCAAAAGCTTCCCGGTGCTTTTTTTGCTCGGAGTCACTTTGGTTGGTGTTTGGGGAGGGGACGGAGATGGAGAGGATGATGAAGAGGGTGATGGAATGAGGGGCTGAACTGGAGGTCCAGGTATCAGAGGAGGGAAAGGGGCCTTTTCCTTTTCCTCTTGTTCAATCTCCTTCTCCAGTTTTATAAGACCTGGAGGCTCTACGTTGTAACTAGACAAGGAAACAAAGAATATTAAAAAAAACATTGAAGAATGTCAGAAGATGATGTAAAATAAAGAACAAACCGTGATGCTATCCGACCCAGCTCTAAAAGACAGAGACACACCTCTCTCGGCTGCTTGTGAAGAACTGAAAAAAAAAAGAGATCAAGATTTAAAATCTGGTGAATCCAGTGAGACATAAATCAGGATAAAACAAGGCAATGAATGAAGAAGAGTGACTGTGTGATGGTAAAATGCACACAAAAACAAGCTTCATGCATCCAAATGTCCATTTACTCCATCATAACTGCACAGAAATGAGTGTTTTGACATGGAAATATGGACTTGAAAAGTAAATTTTATCCACGTCAAACCAGACAAGAAGTGGGCGACACAAAGCATGATAGATGTGACATGTCACACCATGCAGGTACAGACAGGAAGTCCACTGTGTGATGGCAAACCTGGTGTCGACGAACTGACCGCTTTATCCAGAGACAGGCAGAAACAAAGAAAGAACCTTTATCAGCCACTGTTGTTTGCTCAAATATTTTCACAGCATTTTATCACACTTGTGTCTCTCCTGCGTTCAAAAGCTCAGAATAATTCAGTGTGGATCTCTTACGGGGAATGTTAAGAATTTGCATACTTTACATTGTTAAAACCAACCTTAAGCTAAAAAATTGCAAATATATTTCAAGAGCTGATCGTCTTATCTTATCCAACATATCTTCACTGCGAGCATGCTTTTTGAGTAATGTGCAAGAAAAAGCTTTGAGGGACATAAAACGCAGGGAGTAAGAATGTGGAGGAGAAGAAATATTCCTACTATGAGCTAATGAAGACATCTAGCCGGTGTAATGTTGGCCTATTTTTTGCACGTTTTATCTGAGCTCCATTTGTTACCAGGATGTCTTTATTGTCAGGTGGAGCTGCTCCCATCTGTTCCCCCCTCAGACGGCTGCCTGCCCCTCATGACTTTTTTCTGTGGCACAGCCATGTGAGCCGTCTGAACCTTAGAGGGGAACAGAACAACCTGAGCAGTTCTGTACCGCCGACACAATCAGTCCACTCTCAGGAGGCCGAAATCTGAGTCTGCAGCCTTGGCAGTGTCAGTTCTGGTTCCTTTGTTGTTGTGTACACAGACTGTCCTACATTCTGTGGGAGACTCACCTAAACCTTCGGACTCAAAGAGACAGGTGTCTCCGACGCCGACCTCACGGCACCAGGACAGGAAGTTGGCAGTGTTGTCCCGTGCAAAGAAAGAGCCGGAGGGAGCACTCCGTCGACACGGTATCCTCCGGTGAGGGATTCTGGTCTGAAGACACAGAAAGGTTAAAAGTCCTAAATGAGCTGAAGATGGATGAGATCCTTCCAGAGTTGTCATGATCTTTGTTTCTGCTAGTCTTTTGTGGTTTATTAGATTTATTTGTATTGTGACAGTGTGTTTATCTTAAGTTTCTCAGTTTTATTAAAGGAGACACATGCTTTTAAATCCTTTCTCACATTTGAATCATTCAGTAGAGGTCTATATAAAGAGAAACTGCAATGTTTTGGTCTGAATTCCTCCTTGTTGTAACTCCACAAGCCCCTCTTTCACCCCATTATCTGAGGTGTCTCTAAGCAACTCGTGTTGGTGCTGTCTCTTTAAATGAGGCACTTCACACCCCTCCAGGCCTCACTACCAATGATATAGATTATCCACTCCACTCAGTTTAGCCATTTTTATAGTTTGATAGCAGAGGTATAATTATCTAGCAGCACAGACAATTTTTATTTACAAATTAATTGAAAGATGTCAACAAGGGAAGACTTCTCCATCCAGCCGTACATGTTGGACCCAGAGTCTGACCCAGAGCTAGAGAAGAATGAAGACAACCAAATTGTAGTTGGTAAGTCCAGACCTTATTTAGCAGTTCAGTCACAAATAATTTGATGTAAAAGTTCAGAAAACGTCATTGAAAATAGAGAAAACTGAATGGGTTGAAAAATCAAACAGAATATAAATATATTTTTGCAACCCCGGGAGAAACCAAATTCAAATTTTCTGCACTCCTAGAAACTCCAAGTTCACAACAAAATGTATTTAACAGCTACAAAAGTGGATTTTGCGTATGTCCCATTTATGTTCGACACTGATCAGTCTGTTTCAGCTGATCAGTGTTTTGTTTCTCACATGTTCTCTGTCTGTAATCAGTTCAGCTGTCTCTAAAACCTCATCCCAGCCTTTTATAATCAGCCTCCTGTTATCTTCACTTCAACAGTGCATTATTGGCTTCAAAGCCACGTCTGGTGTTCTCTTCTGAGCTTATTCTCCCTGTAACTATTCTTTCTCCAGAAATTTTTTCCCACATTCCTTAGTTTACGTCCCCCGATGCAACAACTGATGTTACTAATTAAATCAGTCTTCTGGCATGTTTCAGTCTGAATCAGTCCATGTTATTCCTGGCCTTCCCTGTTTCTTTTTACCAGGTGGCGTCCGTTGCAACGCTGCTTTAGGGATGTGCTGACTGTGCATCCTCAGCAGGGTTGGCCCGTGGCATAGGCAGTATAGGCAAATGCTAAGGGCACCATACATCCAGAGGACATCACAAATGGGGGACCAGAAAAATATTTAATATTTTTTTCATCAGAGCATAGTTGATTTGATTTGTAGAATGGTTACTCAGATTAATGTTCTGTTGGTTTCTCAGCTGGTCTGTTACTACATGAGGTTGTATGGTGCAAAGGATATTTCATGATGAAAATATCATATGATGCAGTCAAGTGAGTACATAGATGCAGTGAGTACATAGAAAACAAAACAAGGGTAATTGAAGTTTCAGTTTTGATCTCAGATAAAGTTCAGGTTAAAGTCTGGTTTTCTGTGTTCTGCCTTCATAAAATACAGATTTTATGTTGTTTTATTAATCCCAAGAATTTAGTCAAAAGCTCTTCAAATGACTGGGAAATGAATAGTTTGAGTAGATTTTTTACAACATTTTCCTGAGGAGTACACCCCAGGCCCCCCTAGAACTGCTTCACTCCACAGCTGCTGGTTAACATGAACAGGTGTTCCTTGTTGCTGTCAGCAGGTGTTGGCAGGTATGAAGCAGACTTCTGGTATTTTGTTTCAAATGAATTATATTGTTATACTTTAATTGGACAACCTGGTTTCTAAAAAATGCAAAATAATATTGAATACAAAACTATTTAATCTGGTGTGTGAATGTATGTAAATTAGCAGTGAAGTTTAGAAAAATGCACAAGGGGTGCCACCAGAAATCGTGTCTTGGGCTCCAAAGCTAGAGCTGATCCTGTTCATGGCCCAACCGTTTAAAATGACTCTCAAACTGCTGCGCTTGGTCTTCTTGTATAGATCACCATTTGTCATTCTTATGGGTCGCACATTCTCCTTTAGACAGCTGTTGTGAAAGACATCCAGGTTTTTTTTCATATCGGTCTGTGTTACTCTTCAACACTCAGATCCGTACAGCACAACAGATTTAACATTGCTGCTGTATAGCTTCAGCTTGATTTTGAGGCGACGTTGGTCAAAGTCTGGCAAAATTAATACATACTTTTCCCAAACCATGCTATAATGTCTTTGGTTGTTTCATTGTCAGTATTAATAAAACTTCAAAGGTATACGTTCCTGAACGACCTCAAGTGGTTTGTCATCCACAGTGATCGGTGCATCTGATGTTGGATTGATGCACATGACATCTTGTACTGATGCAGCTGGACAAGATAGCTAATTACTAGGGGTGCAACAATACATGTACCCGTATCGAACAGTGCTGTATCGAACAATACAGATTTTAAAAATTTACTTTATCAGCTTGTCTTCTGAAGATGCTCTGTGTTAAAGGATCAGTGGATCTGTGTTTGACTACTTAGGCTGCATTTTTGAGCACAGATCCACTGAGAAACTTGCTGTTTCAGCAACATTAAATTTAAAAACTGTACTTTTGAGGTTAAACAAATGTTCATAATTAATATAAATAAATTCCAAGTCAAAAGGGGCATGGAAATTTCTCTTTTTTGTATCAAAAAAATATCGAACCATGAGACTAAAGAATCGAACCGAACCGTGAATTTCTTGTATCGTTGCACCCCTACTAATTACAATATTTCCCATGGCCATAAAAGTTGGGGAATGATGTAACTGCCTGTGTCTGTGTGTGCATGAGTCTGTCTGTTTGCAAAATATCTAAACTCTCAGAAAGTTATTCTTGCTTGCACATCTACAACTAATTACCTGTTGGAGTAAACTTTTTTCCTAATTTTAAAAATGGGTATGACTCAATAGATTTTACAGCGTTTGAGCCTAAATCTAGAGTAGTAGTAGCTGAGGTTAATCTCCAACACAAACTAAACCTGCTAATAAACTGTGCAAGATCTTTGTTTAAAACGTAGTCATGCAAAGCAGCAGTTAATATACATTCCATAAAGGAATGAATCAACAGAATGCTGCTTTTCATTGATTTTTTTTAAAGTTGTATTATTTTTGTTTGGTGTCTGGTAGAAATGGTCAAATGATCACTTCTGGCCCTCAGATCATATTTTTCACTTCTTAGGGTCCAAATTAGGGTTTTGATTGAGACAGAGTAGACAGCAAAGTCCACTCCATCTGCGGCGGCTCTGGTTTTCAGACGAGGATCAAGAGAACTTTTCCTCGCAGATCAATACGGGTCAGAAAGCTGGAGCAACTTTACCAGACTTTCTACAGTTTAGTATCAGATGACGTGCTCATGAGTTTCAGCACCCACACGGTCTGTTCGAGGAGATTTATGTGCTTTGCTGTGGTTTTATGTGCGAGATGTGCGTCTGTGCTTTGAGGAAGGTGCAGTGAGCTCATTCAGGAAATATGTGAGCATTTGTGGGTATTTTTCACTTCATTCCCAATTTTTTTTTCCCATTTTTTCTTTTTTTTGGGGGGTGGCGGTGGTCATTGTTTTGTTCTATAATGCTGCAGTGGGGGAAAAAGTTTTCCAGCGACGTGTAATAAAACAATCAAGGTGTCAGACAAGCATTTCTGCTGCAGCTTGTTGTGTCTTCAACACCTTTATGTGTTTAATTATGAACAAAATAAAAAGCTTCAGGAAAAAAATACTCTTTAAACAGATGGCAACAATGAGGAAAAACACAAAGATTAATTTTATCTAAAAAAATTTAACTTAAAGAATTTGTTTAATTTATCTCTGATATTTGGAAGTTTCAACACTGTCATTCTGTATATTTAATTTCAACAGTGAGATAATCTAGTTTAGCTAATAGCTGGAAAATTGGGACACCTTAAATAAATTGGTCAAATCCTTTGAATTGGGGCTCTGTTAAAAATATTTTACATGTTTTGGAAAGCTCTTTGAACAACCTTATTTTGGGATAAAACAGATTTTGGGTTTTTCTCAAAGTAGTCTCTGATTTGTTGTGGGTGATATATTTATGTAAATCTAGTGCTTCAGAGATGTAGATCTTTGTCAGTTTGTTTCCAAACTATCATTCAAATGTTGGACCAAACTTTGCTGGGAGTTGGTGCAAATGCGTCGATCAGTGATTCCAGGTTAAATTTTGCATATTTTTCCACAGTTTTGTTTCTCTAACTAGTCACAGCTCTAAGAAACAAAGACTAGCCGTTTATTCATCAACACAAAATGAGGTTATTCATAGAGATAATATTGTATATTACTTATTCATAATGTCTCCCTGAGCCGTTCATTTTGACACAGTTTACCTGATTTCCAAAAACATTTTAGAGATTTTGATCTGTCAAACTTTAAAATTTCAGTTTGCCTCATCCAATCAAAAAACAAACCCGATTGCAAGAAATGGTCCAAAGATTTCACTGTTTCACATTGTCTTTTAAATGGACACAGTTTTAACCTGTCTTTCTTGATGAACAAAGTATAATAAAATCATTCTTAAGATGCTAGATTATTGGTCCACACATCTGTTGCAGATAGATAAAATGTTTCACATCTGTATTTAGAAATGATTTGTCTGCTTGTACGCCAGCTGTTCTATTTATTTATGAGTCTACTCAACAACTTTCTCAGACTTTCACTGGCTTTTACCTTAACAGTAGTTGACAAAAATATTGTTTAACATCTAACTCTCTTTTTATTAATTTATTATATTGTTGTCCTATCTTTAATAACTTTGTTAATATTCTGTTTTATTGACACATAGAACTTATTTTGACAAGATATAAAATATAATCTTTCTCCTTCAGATGCTAATAGTTCCTGTAGAGCATGAACTAAATTGCTCAGGGGGCCACAGTTGCACAGCAGCTCAGGGGCCGTCCATTCATTGCTGCCCAATATCAAAGAAACACTGCATTGTGTAAAAGAAAAAGGATTGTTGTCTTTTATCTTTTAAATGTGTTTATTTTTGGTGCATTGAATTGGACATTTTAATTTAAAAAATTGATTTCAAGTCTATTTTTATATTGAATGATTAAATTATTAAATATATAATAACAATAAATATATTAATAATTAACTCATAAGCGGGCCGGACTGAAGTCACCCCTGGGCTGGATGTGGCCAGCGGGCCACCAGTTGAATAACCCTGCTGTAGAGATGTAAAATAATGAGAAACAGCTTTAAACAGTCTGATTTGTTATTGTAGCTCAGTCCACTCATCACAGCATAACATTAACCATTAACTTCAAATTTTGAGGGGCTTTAACAAGCTATATGTGTAGTTAGATGAGACATAACTGAGCATCGTTAACGTTTTTAGCTCATTAATGAGTTATACGTGCTAACACTGAATATCTGTGTCAGACCTCCTCCTGCTGCTCCTCTGGACTCTGATCAATACGCTCCTCTGTTTCAGGAGCTTCACTGCTGTCCCACGGTTGCTGAACTCAAATATTTTCTCACATCTGTGCTGCTGAGCTCACGTTGAGATCAGGAGACCCGCCGTCATCAGTGATGATCCAGTGCAAACACAACAACACTCAGTGAAACAACAACAGAAGAGCTTCTGGCTGCTTTCCTTCTGAACTAAACACGGTCTGATGATTTCCTCTCATGTTATCACTGAATACAAAACGCAGGAGGAAGTGTGCAACATCAATAAACTGATGTTTTATGGTATTTAATTGATTAGTTAAAAGAACACTGAAGCCTGCATTGTTTTTGTGTTGTTGTTTTTAAGATTAATGACCCAGAAAAATGTAGATTTACAAAGATGTGGGGTTGATTATTGAGACTTTTTTCAAGATAAATTTTAAATCTTTACTCAAGGCTCACAAAACATTTCACAGATTTCCTCCAACTCTCTGGGGCTGTGGGGCCCCTCCAGCTAATGTGTCCTTGCTTGGATTATTACCCCCCACCCCCCCTGCCCTGTTGGAGACTGAAAACCCCCCATCCCCCACCTCACTCCATGCAACCCCTTTTTTAAAACTGTAAAGCCTTTTGAAATGTTAGAGATCAGGAGTGTGGTTGATCATAGAGTCAGTCTCAAAGAATTTCTGGTGCTACAAACTTAATGCCAAAGGCTGTAAAATGTTTAAAAACATGCAATAATTTGTAAATCTTACATTTTATTCAAAGTAGAACAAAGTGAAGATGTCAAATGTTGAAACAAAGACAATGAAAACATGAGATAAGTTTGAATTTGATATCTCAAAAATTTTATTAAATTCTGT